AATTCCTCCTTCAAATTTAAATGATAACCTTGCTGGGTAGAGTATTCTTGGTTTGAGGCCTTTCTGTTTCATTGCATTAAATTTATCATGCCAGTCCTTTCTGGCCTGTAAGGTTTCTGTTGAGAATTCCGATGATAGCCTGATGGGTTTTTCTTTGTATGTGAATTTTTTTCTCTCTCTAGCTCCTTTTAAAAGTCTGTCCTTATCCTTGATATTTGTCATTTTAATTATCGTATGTCTTGGTGTTGTCTTCCTTGGGTTCCTTGTGTTGGGAGATCTGTGCACCTCCATGGCCTGAGAGACTATCTCCTTCCCCAGACTGGGGAAATTTTCAGCAATTACCTCCTCAAAGACACTTTCTATCCCTTTTTCTCTCTCTTCTTCTTCTGTTAACTTATAATGCAAATATTATTCCACTTGGATTGGTCACACAATTCTCTCAATATTCTTTCATTTCTAGAGATCCTTTTTTCTCTGTGTGCCTTAGCTTCTTTGTATTCCTCTTTTCTAATTTCTATTCCATTTACCATCTCCTCTACTACATCTAATCTGCTTTTAAATCTCTCCATTGTATGTTTCATTTCAGATATGGAATTTCTTAATGATTGAGTCTCTGTCCTAAATTTGTCCCTGAGTTCTTGAATATTTTTCTGTACCTGCATGAGCATGTTTATGATTTTTGTTTTGAACTCTCTTTGAGGAAGACTAGTGAGTTCAGTTTCACTTGGGTCTTTTTCTTGTGTTTGTGAGATTTTGGGTTGAACCAGGTTTTTTTTGACAGTTCATATTTAAATATGGCGCCCTCTAGTGCCCAGAAGCTCTAGTCTCTGGAGCTGCCCAGCCCCTGGAGTGATGTCGGGCATTACAGGGAAGCAGCGCTGGTGCCTGGGGAGGAAAGAGCTGTTTCCTGCCTCCTGGCTGCTATGCCTGTCTCCACTGTCAGAACTGGTGGGTGGAGCACACAGGTGTAAGACTCTGTGCTTTGTGTTTGTAGCTGCCATAGGCAGGGCCTCCCTCTGGCTAGCTGGACAGCTGGACAGGGACTGCCAGTTTGTGACCCAGGGCCCGCAGGCCATGATTTTATGCTCAGCAGGCTGTGTATCATAGTGGGGGGCCTCAGAGCTGAGTAGCCAGCCAGGGGAATAGAGTGCCTGAAGCTCCTGAAAGTTCCCAATCTGCTGGGCAGAGCAAGCCCAGACAATCTTGTTCACCTCTCCCTTCTCCCAAACAGCAAGCTCTGTGCAATCCCTGCCCCTTCAGCAGCCCTCTTGCTGGTAGGAAGCCTCTCAGACCACCTACCTTTCCTTTTTCCTGGAGCAGCCAGATGTGGATCCCTGTCCTCCACAAATGGCTGGAATCCCCATCTCTCCAAGTATTCCACCTGTCTTAGCTTTCCAACCCCACTAATCTCCATAGCACCATGCAATGTAGGTTTGTGTTCCCAAAGCAGATCTCCAGGGCTGGGAGTTCAGTAGTCCTAGGCTTCCACCCCCTCCCCGCTCTGTTTCTCCTCCTCCTGCTGGTGAGCTGGGGTGGGAGAAGGGCTTGGTCCCGCCGGATCAAGGCTTTGGTACATTACCCTATTTCGTGAGGTCTGCTCTGTTCTCCAGGTATATGCAGTCTGGTGCAGCCTTCTTTCCTGGTGCTCTTTTAGGATTAGTTGTATTAACTACATGTTCACATTATATGTGGTTATGGGAAGAGTTCTCTGTCTCTCTTATCAGGCCGCCATCTTTAATCTCCTAGCTTCTAAGATCCAAAAGGGTCTATTTTTAATACTTTTGACAAACTTACCCAAATCAAATTCTAAATTCTTAAACTAATTAGACTTATTTATTAAACTTACATGGGAAGCATTGTTGAATAAGAAGTAATACTAAGTCTTCTTGTTGTATTTGTTTAGGTATATAAATGTTCTAGAAATCATGTGGAATTCCTAGATATCTGATATGTCCTGGTATGATGTTATCACTTGCAAGTATTCTCTTATCTTCTGAAATTGCTGTCATCAAAATTGAGTTTCCCACTGAAAGAACTAAACCTGATCCCCAGGGAAATGCCCCAGCTGACTCATGAAAAGGCCACAATAACAGTCTATAAAAATTATGGTGCCTGTAGATACAGTCCATTCTGCTTCTACAAGAAAAAAAAAGACCCTTTCTGCCAGACATTTGCCACTCTGATATCCTTGCAAATTGATAGTAGTCTACTCCTCAGTCTGAGAAATTAAGATGCACTAACAATGATTGTAAAGTCAATAGGCAGTGAGGGCTTTGGGAAACCCTAGACAGCTGCTTGGTCCTTCCTGTCTCCCTGGCAAATTGTTTTACCCCCTTCCTCTGAACCTTTTGAACACCTGCAGCTGGACTTCATTCACCTGCTACCTAGTGTGGGTCATCAATATGTTCTTGTTACTGTATGCATGTTTCTGGATGTGTTGAGGTTTTCCCTGTTTGCCATGCCACTGTCACCTCTGTGGCTAAAATACTGCTACAAAAAATTATACCTACCTGGAAACCCCTTCTACTCTATACAGTGATAGGAAAACTCATTTTACTGGACAAATTGTTTAGCAAGTATGTGTCATCTAGCTAATATTACAACATTTTAATTGCACATACCATCTATAATCTTTCTGGGTTAGTAAAAAGAATAAATGGAATTATAAAGACTCCACCACACTTACAGAAGTCTTAAAATTTTCTTGGTCAAAAAACCTTACCTATAATTCTTTTGAATCTGAGGTCCACTCCTTTTGAAAAACATTAGCTTTCCCCTTTTTGAAATCGTAACAGAAATACCTATGCATCTTTCCACTGTGGCCTTAGACTCTTTAGTTATAAAAGGGGGAATCCTTACTTAACTGCCAAGAGCTTATTAAAGCTATTAATAAAAATCACTCTTTAATAAAACACTATTTTTACCATAGCAAGAAGAGTGACTTTCCATCCCACAGAATCCAACCTGGAGATTTTGTGAACTAGAAAAGACACCTCTGCAAAAGTTCTTTACAAGCCCAATGTAAAGGTCTATTCCAAGTACTTCTTCTGAATCCCTGTGCAGCCAATCTCTATGGCATTCTCTCCCGGATCCATGTTTCTTCCCTAAAAATGTAGCCCATCTAAATGGCCTATCACTCCCATTTCCATTCTCAAACTCCACCTGACTAGGAAGAGAAGCTGCTGACATCCTGAAGTTGACTGCTTCTACCCAAGAGTCTGGACCAGGCCTGTATATCCTGAAGGATTCAAAATCACCCCAATCTATATTCCTTCTATTTCCTTTCCTGTTACCTTTCTTAACACTAAATTTGGGCAATCAGGCTACAGAAATCTAAAGCCCAAGCACCATCATAAAATTTTTTTTGATTTGTTTGATTGAGCTACTGCTGTTACAAAAATAAGGGCCCTGAGTGTTCTAACCCTGATTTGGGGGAGATATTAAAATGATTTGGGGTTCATGGATTAGCAATCTTACAGAATTTATTTGTTGCCCTATTTTGAATTTTGCTTGGTGTATTTTATCTGAACTTTGTACTTGTTCTTCCCAATTATGTAAGTCTAGGAACCAAACCTCAACCAACATTATGCTTGTTCAACAGATTGAATTAGCCACCTATACCTTTCCAGAAGATACTCTTTGAAAGGAAAAATTTTAAGTTACCTGAGGAGAGTAACTGATGATTCTCTCTCTTCCTCACCCTGTTGTTGCCCATAATTGGCCTGGGATTTCTTATCTCATTCTTTATAAATTTCCTCCTCTGTGGGACATGACTTCCTAGGAATGAGCCTTCCTAGCAATGTAGAACAACACCCTGAACATAAAAGGTCTATTTTAAACATACTTAAATTCACAACAGACATTCATCAGTGATGATTTCTGAGAAATATTTTGATGAAAAGGAGGAAATGATAAGGAAAAATTCTGAATTGTCCTAAATTAAGTGACATAAGGGCCAGAGAATGAGGGAAAGAGACAAGGGAAAGTCATCAGTCAATAGCCAAGGGGTATAATTAACCAGAAACTCCATGTTCTTTGATGAAGTCATTTCAACAATCATCTAGATACCCATGAACAGTATCTGACCATCATCAACAACCAATCCACAAGCCTGTGGACTACCACCTATCCCAGGACTTTCCCGGTTTGCATTAGCCTGCCTTCCTTATCTGTAGCTAATGTAAATTTAAAGAATGTTCTTTCCTTGAGGCCCCTTAGAAATGTCCCTTGTTTCTTGAGTCTGGTGGACAAGTTGTTTCTGTTAACTAGCCTGGCTACAGGTGAAGCAGAATCTTCCTGTCTTAGGACTCAGTCCATTTTCTGGCTAGCATCTGTAATAGCTCAATAAGTCCTTTTATTTCAGAGATCTCCTGGTCTCTAGAGTTTTTTATTTGTGAGGGTAGTCAGCAAGCAACAGTGAAACACCCAGGGCTAGGAATAAGCAGGAAGCCATCATCTCCGCAAGCCTCAGTGGCAGGTGGAGGGAGCTAGAACTACAGGAGAGTATGAACAGAAGCACAGAAATGCAGACTCTCCAACTCATAGCCAGCTGGAAGAGACTTGGGGTACTAAATACTTCAAACTATGCTTCTTTTTACCCTATGGTCTCCTCTAGTGCTTCTCATTGGCTTTGGAGAGGATACTAACCATGTCAACTCTGGTTAATTCGGGTCCTTGGCTTCTCTGAGTGACTAAGATGATGATGATGATGAAGATGATGATATTATTATTATTATTGTTATTACTACTATCATTTAAAGGGCACTTGCCATATTCTAGGAATTTTACCAAGCACCAAGCATACGTGAGCTCAATCCTCCCCACCATTCCTTGTGACATATATGATTTCTCTTTTATCGTTAACAAAACTGAGGCTCTGAGAATGACTTGGCTGAGTTCACATAGCTAGTAAGAAACAACACTTGGATTTGAACACAGGCTGGCTTTATTTAAAATAAACTGTACTCTCAGCAACAAAAAATGTCTTTTTTTTCCCCCAGTCAGTGTGACTCTGGATCCAGATACAGCCCATCACGAACTGCTTCTGTCCGAGGATCGGAGACAAGTCACTCGTGGATACCCCCAGGAGAATCTTGATGCTTCTTCTAGGAGATTTAGTGCCTTGCCTTGTATCTTGGGCTGTGAAGGCTTCACTTCAGGAAGACATTACTTTGAAGTGGATGTGGGAGAAGGAATTGGGTGGGATTTAGGAGTCTGTTTGGAAAATGTGCCAAGGGGCATAGGCATCAAACAGAAGCCTCAGTCTGGATTCTGGGCCATCAGACTGTGCAAAAAGAAAGGCTATGTGGCACTTACCTCTCCTCTAACATCCCTTCAACTGAGGGAGCATCCCTTGGTTGTGGGGGTTTTTCTCGATTTTGACGTAGGATTTGTATCCTTTTATAACATGACTACTGGCTCCCACATCTTCACATTCCCGAAGGCCTCCTTCCCTGATACTCTCCGGCCCTATTTCCAGGTTTATCAATATTCTCCTTTGTTCCTGCCTTCCCCAGATGAGTAAGGAAAGAAGTAAAGTCTCTTTGGCTTAAATAGCATAGAAAATATAATGTAAATCCTGTGAGGTCAGAAATGTGGTCTGTTTTCTTCACTGCTATTTCCTAGAACAGTGCTGGTTTTTTGATGGGTCCTTAATGAACCTGCATTGAATAGGTGCATATAATAACTCTAAAAATTCCACATATGGTCAGCTTGAGCTGGGGGAAGCAAGATAATAGCAATGATCATGCTCTCCATTCCTCTTTAATGAGTCCAGATTTGCAAAATCCCCTGGGTGACCAATAAGGTGACCCAGAGATCAGGAGGTCTAAGTTTTTCAATTTGTTTGATGCCTTTCAAACTCGGGTGGGGTTGAAGGGAAAGCTGCAGCTGCCTCTGCCAACTGAAGAAAAGAGCAGGAAAATCAAAATAGCAGTGACTCTGTTAACCACTGACATGTTGATCAATTATCAGAGCCATAGCCCTTTATGATGTAGTAGGTGCAAAAAGCTACCAGATCCACTGAGCCCTGCCTAGGCAATAAGCAAGTGAAGTGTGAGAGAAGAGTTCAAATTGGCTTACAGTGAGATGTTTCAAATGAGAAAGAGATTAGAAATAAAAGGTGATTTTCATGGGGGTCCCAGTACTGGAAAATAAGTTTATCATTTCCAGACTGTGCTAGAGCCTGCTATCTTGAAATATTTAAAAATCTCAGCAAATAGTTTTTGCTGGCATAATTGTTGGCAGTTTTCAGGTATGATCAGGTAGGCCTTAACTATACATGGGTTTTGAAAAGTACACTCCATGTCAGACCTAAATTATTATACCTGAACTGGCTAAGGACAAGACTGTGGTGAAGTCAGCCAAGACACAAAGAACATTAATAATGACCAAAAAATGTCATGAACTTGCTAAATGCTGTAATAATTTATAGTTTATATAAAAATTGGTGTTTATTGATATTGTTGATATCGTGGTCCTCATCTTTCTAGGAATAGGGGAAATGAAGCAAAAGAGTTATTTTTGTATGTCAGAGGCATAGCTGGTCCTCCATCTCCACCCAGAGGAAGATACAAGAGGTCAGACCATCACCCACAATCCCCAGCATGAGAAGTTCTCCTAGTCACACTGATAGAGGCTGGGTTTAGCTAGAAAGTGAAGGATAACAGAATATTCCACCCCCAAAACTACCACTTTGGTGTAAGAATTATTTTGAGTTGAAAGCAACTGAGACAAAACAGGTATGAGAAAAGCCCTCTGTCTTCCTCCTATTCACCCAGAAGAAGGACATATATTTGTAAAGGTGTCCCCCCACCTCTTTACCAGGAAAAACAGATAAAAATCACCATAGACAATTCTAGCCCCTTGTCAGTCCAGAGACAGCACTAGTGGAATCTACATAACAAATATTGCTAGAACTAGCCTTTATCTACCATTACCTCCCCATATTTGTCCCCTAGAAAGCTGTTTTCCTTTGTCCTATCACCTCTCTAAAAATTTATTGTTCCAAAGTCTAATCACTCCTTTGAGTTATTCATCTTTGAGTGGTCCCACATGTATGCATGATGCACATGTGTCTGGGAAAAACTCCCTGTTTCTCCTTTATTCTCTCACTACTACCACACTCACAACACTTCACTTTACTTCTAAAAACAGATATGTGGGTTTTTTTTCCCCATATGAAGATGGGTGTCCTACAATTCAATTCAATTCAATCCTGACATTAACTGGTGTTAGAGCAGACCCCACAGACTGTGCCAACCCTCCTACTCCCAAGTTGCTTCTGATGGACCTGCTTTTACTTGGAGGTTCCCAGGACCCCCTCTTCAGGTTCAATCATGTATTAGAACTGTTCACAGAACTCAGAGAAACACTTTGTTTATTATAAAGCATACAGATGAACAGCTAAATGATACATAAGATGAGATCCAGAAAGGTCCCTAGCAGAGGTATGTCACCCTCCCAGCACATGGATGTGTTCACCAATCTAGAAGCTCTCTGTACCTTATACTTTGGGGATTTCTATGGAGGCCTGATCATGTATGCAGGATCAACCATTAACTCAATCTTTATCTCTCTTCCCTTCCCAGAGGATTGGAAGTGGTGCTAAAAGTTCCAAGCTTCTAATCATGGCTTGGTCTTTCTGATGACCTGCCCCTATCCTAAAGCTCTCAGGCCATTAGAACATGAGACATTCCTATGACCCAGGAAGTTCCTGGGGATTTAGGAGCTCTCTACCAGGAACTGGGGAGAGATGCCAATATATATGTTTTGTATGTTTAACAACATGTTAATAAGCTTGTTTTTCTCTTAGTAATCTGTCCTTTGTTAGTCTGCGTGGGTAAATTGTAGTATTTCCAGAATATCTCACCTGGCTTTAGTGCATATGAATATCAACAGGCATACCTAAGGGGTGGAGAGTAATAGTTCATCTTTATATCAACAGGTAATTACCTGGGTGACCCAGGGCTTATCTGAACCTGAGAGGTTGACGGGAGCTCTCGCTTACTTCTGCCGGAGCAGGAGAGAGAAATGGCCCTGGACCACAGTTTGTAAGCAATAAATGGGTTTTAAACTTTACTTCTCCCTTTGACTGATTTTGATTTTAGAGGTATTTTGCCACAGGATTTCTTCTCCCCGGAGTTACAGTCTGATTTGCAGGGCCCTAGTTGGAGAACCTAAGATGAGTAGAAGAAAAGTATTTTTTTTCTTCCTCTACACAAGGAGCCCGAGTGTTATTTGTTGTCTGTTCCCACAGTCTGAGTGCACTGACCTCCTTCTGAGGGATAGTCAGAAGGAGGGATTAGATAACTGAGGGACCTGACCTTCATGCAGGATAAGTGAAGGCACAGTCTGTGTATCACTAAGCTCATCTCTACCTCTAGGTGTCTTGCAATCCTGTTTTATACAAGTGTGGTCTTGCCCAGTGAGGAAGGTTTCTCTAATGCTGGCAGAGCCTATAGTGAAGTACTCAGCTCAGATAAAATTCTATATCTTTAAACACTTAGATTGCTGAACAGGAAAAAATGATGATAATCATTTAATTAAAGAAAAAAGATTATTTTAAATTAACAAAATACACCTTTGGAAACCATAAGGATTGTAACCCCAGGGGAAAATCAGTCTTGTCCCATCTCACTCTTGACCAGGCTGAAGCAGAGAGAGCTCCACCCAACCTCTCCAGTCCAGATAAAGCCTTGTACACCCTTGAAAACACCTATTGATATGCAGATGCAAGAAAGGCGGGTGAGATTTAATGAATTATAAGAAAACATATTTGGTCATTTATATGTGGTCTTCATCCACAGTTTCTGAAAACACTGTAGTCTTAAAGGTAAAATGGGTGATTTGCATGTTAATGAGAGACTTTTGGACACCACCCAAGAGCAGGGACTGGAGGCTGAATCAGCCAATGGTCAATAATTTAGTCAATCATGACCAGGCAATGAAGCCCTCACAAAAACCCCTGAGAAGAGCTAGTAGCTCTTTGCTCTGCTGGATCCTACTTCTCAGTTGGAGAGAGCATCTATGCTTGGAGAACCAGACTGCCTCTGCATACCACTGAGCCAGGCCCCAGGCTCCAGGAGGATAGAAGCTCCCTTATTTGGGACCTTGCCCTATGTATCTCTTCATCTGGCCGTTAACTTGTATCCTTTACAGTATCCTTTATTGAACTGATAAATGTGTTTTCCTGAGTTTTGTGAGCCACTCTAGCAAATTAATTGAATCTAAGGGGGAGGTCATGAGAGCTTCCAATCTGTAGCCAGTAGGTGAGAAGCACAGCTAACTGCTTCGAGCTTGCAACCAGCCTCTGGAGTGGGAGCTGGAGGAAAGTCTTGCAGGACGGAGCCCTTAACCTGGGGAATTTGGTACTGTCTTTGGGTAGATAGCATCAGAATTGAGTTGAGGTGGGTAAAATTGTAACATTTCCAGAATATCTTGCCTGGCTTTAGTATATCTGCATATCAATAGGCATTCATAGGTGGAAAGAAGTATGGCTTTACTGCATTTGCATCATTCCTGAGGGATGGAAAGAAGTTCATATCAATGGGTAATTACCTGGGCAACAGAGGGCTTATTTGTACCTGAGAGGTGAGGGGGAGGGTTGGTTTTTTGCTTCTGCTTGAGCAGGAAAGAGAGAAGGGCCCTAACTGCACCTTGTAAGCAATAAACAGATGTTAAACTTTATTTCTCCCTTTGACTGATTTTGGTTTTTAGTGGTATTTTGCCCTGGGATTTCCTCTCCTCGGACTTACACTCTAAGTAAGTAAAAATGATCCAAACAGTCATATTCTAGGAATCAGGTGTCCCTTCATCATTCCAAGTCACAAGCACAGCCTTCAGTCTTGAGAGCTTCTTCCTGTGTTTCTTGTATCTCAGTCATCCATACCTGTGTCTTTTCTCCAAGACCTAAACTCTGAGGATGGGACTTCTTTTTTTTACACCTTGGTGCCTGTTTTAGTTGTTGGACACCCTCGAGCCATTAAAGACACTAGGTGAAGTTTAAAGATAAAATGTTCCACTTTCCTATGGTACAGCCAGATCAATGTCCAATTTCTGGTTTTATTTACAAGCGGACAAGTGACATCACCCCTGTGGGCCTCTTTTTCCTCCAGAACAACACTGGGGCAATACCAGGTTGTAAGAAGTGCTCAGGCACAAAGCACTAGGTATATAACATAATAAATAGGCTGTAAGGTTGGAGCACCAGAGGGAGGGTGAGCACGTGGGACACTGATGACATGCCAAAGTCCCCGGCTGCTGTCCCCTCCCAACCTGAAAAATGTGCCTTAGGCTAGCCAATCCTCACACCGCTGTAAACGTAAGCTCTGCCACCCCCTACCTTCTTTAAAAACTCACTGCCTGCCCTGATGAGCATGCCTTCCCCAGCCTGTAATAGCCAGACCGGGGAACATCACCCAGGAATTGCACTCAAATAAACTGCCTGGCCCTTTGCTGCCTCTCGTCACCTGCTTATTTCAGTTAGAATTTATCTTAAATTTGGTGCCAAAACCCGGGAAGGAGCGTGAGCATGGGGTCCTGACCAGCCACTGGCAGCCCTGCCCCCTCCTTCCCCAACCCAGAACCTCAGTCTGCTCTCTGCTGCAAGGACTATTTTCAGCTGAGTCCCTCAGTTTCCCCTGGTCTGTTTCCCTTCCTAACTCCATTTCACCTGGTCCGTTCAAAGTCATAGCTACAGACTTTTGGGATTAAATATGGTGTCGTGAGAGGAGAGACAGAAGCTTCCTCCTAAAACTGGATACAATTAGAAAATATAGTTGGCGCAACTAATCCTGAGAAAGCAACAGGAAAGAGGACAGCGTCAGACTGCACACCCCTGGAGAAAAGAGCAGACCTCACCAGACGGGGTAATGTACCAGAGCTGTGGCTCTGCAGAACCCGAGCCCTTCCCACACCCCACCTTATCAGCGGGAGGAAAAGAAATGGAGCAGGGAGGGAGTGGAAGGCTTGGGAATGCTGAATACCTAGCTCCGGAAATCCGCTCTGGGAGCACAAACCTAAATTTCATGGTGCTATCATGAGACTCGCCTGACTACCGGGTTGGAAA